TCAATAACGCTGCAGTAATCTCATCAACTTTGATAGTCTTTTTCCCATATGTCAGAGTAGTCACCAGGTGTTCATAGGAAGAGGGCAATGAACACAACAAAATCATCGCTCGATCTTCATCCTCAATACTCACATCAAGTCGTGACAGGTCCGTGATTATTTGATTGAAGCCATTAACATGTTGCGCTAGATCAGAACCTTCTTGCATCTTTAGCCCATACAGTTTTTGTTTCAGATACAACTTGTTCGTCGGAGATTTAGTCATAAACTGAGTTTCCAGTTTCTTCCAAACTTCTCCTGGAGATTTCAGATTCATCACGTGATACATAACCTTATCTGCTAGGCATAGTCGTATCGTCGTTGTCGCTCGTTGTTGCAATTCTTCCCAATCTTCATCCTTCATGACATCTAGTTTTGCTGCCCGCAAAGCCTTCAAGATTCCCTGTTGCGCCAACAGATCTTTCACCCTGTTTTGTCATAATCCGAAGTTACTAGTTCCGTCGAACTTCACCACCTCGAATTTTGCACCAGAAAAAGACATCTGAAAATTAATCCTGCAACAAAAAACTGTAAAAAATTCTTCTGCAAAAATCCTTGCTCAGAACCTTTTTTTTTTGGAAAAAAAAAAGAAAAAATTTTAATCTTTGAACAAAGTAAAAAATTTCCTCTTCGCCTCCAAGAAAAGAAATAAATATTTCTTTTATTTCCTCTCTTTATTCAACAAAGAAAATCCTTAATTAAATTTACTTAATTTAATTAAAAAGCTTTCCTTTTTGCGCCTTCCAGCAAACGAAATCGGAGGGGAATATTCCTCTAGATTTCTTCACTTTTCCAGTTTAGGAATATAATAATACTGTGCTTTTCTTTCCAAGGAATCCACGGCAATTCCTTACTTTCCAAGGAATTAATTATTCATTCCAAAAAGGAAAAATTGCGACTTTCCTTTTCGTCCAGTCAAATTCTCCAGCACCTCCGCGCAGGGAAGGAAAGGACCGAACTCCTTTCCGCAAAAGGCTCCTCGGCTGGAAATCTTCTTCGCAAGCAGCGTCGAAACCTCCGCGGTTCTCTCCCGGCGTTCCTCTGCGTCTCGCAAACAGTGCGTCCCGCGAACAGTGCTGCTCCTCGCGTGCCTCGATCCTTCCTGGTCCGCACTCACTCCAAGATCGCGTGCGATTCACGAACAGAAACTCGGCAATTCCTTCTCCCTGGTCCGCCTGCCTCCCACGATTCCTTCGTGATTCTTTCTCCCGAGCCGCGTCCTCCTAAGCCGGACAATCTCCCCAGCCGCGAAGGTCTCTGTCGCGATATGTTTCCCTGAGTCGCGCCGCGATCGAGAGTCCTGTCGCGAACTCCCTCTCCTTCGACAGAGTTCGGTCTCTGAGAAGCTTGGCCCTGATTCTCAAAATCTCGCCGCCAAACTTCTTCTTGCGTCGATGAGAATTTTCTTCCCCTCGAACTTTGGCTTTGATACCACTTGTTGAGTAAAATCGGGCGAAGAATAACTAGAACGACACAAATCCAGAAGAACACAGAGATTTAACGAGGTTCGGCAAAGATGCCTACGTCCTCTGGAGCAGAGCGGCGGGTTCCTTTCAATAATCAGAAAAGGGTTTACAGAAATCAGGGATACCTCATGGGGTTACTAACAGACCTATTTATAACCCCAAGAGTAAACCTTAAGCACAATATCTAATTACAACATTACCCCTGTACCATACCGCGGGGCTTTTCCCCCGCACCCGAACCCACGTAACTTTCCAATTTGGACAGATTTTTCTGCTCCGCTTCGATCTAGCGTCTGTCTTAATATGGTATATGAGTCATACCATAACAAAGAAGGAAATAGAATTGACGGGCATACTGAACTAATCAATTAATTTGTTTTCATCCTCAATATAGGTTGGAGGATCCTTAATTTGTATAGAAGTCTTTAAACTAACTATTGCTATAGTTTAATATTTGGTTTAGTTATCCTAGTTTCAGCAGTGGTCTTGTCTATGTTTCCTTCTTCCTCTTGCTCGCCTTCTTCATGTTCCTCACTCACTCAAAAATTGTCACCTTCACCAATAACAATGTAAGGCCCGTCGTTGCCGCCTCCAATGGCGGCATCCAACTCAACATTAGCTAAACATAGATCACTGACAACCAATTTTGGGCCTGCATAGGCCACTCCTAAATCGCCTCTAGTAATGGTCATTGCGAAACCAATGACTACGGTGGCAAGCTCTACCGTACAAATTAGAACTTGCCACTCAACAACCTACCATAGTTTTGGCCTCAACCAATATACTAATCTCGACTTGATTGACTTTTTCGTTATTGATGTCTACAATATTAGGCTTAACTTTATCGCGGCAGTGGCAAGCAGAGCTGAATGTGCCTAATAATGCAAAAATGAATATACCTTTATACCAAAATATTTTTAAAGTATATATAATTTGTGCAACGTACGAGTTACTTGTTGTAGCAAAATTGTGCTCATGCACGAATTTACCTCATAACAAGTTTTTTTTTTTAATATAGTGCAATATCTATTTAAATTTTGTAATATAAACATTTTAAAATTTTCAATGTTAGATCCTTTCAAGCCAGACAAATTGATGTGAGCTCGATAATAGAGCTTGCACCCATTTCTATTTTTCTATCCTCACTGAAACAATAACTGCTTCTCCATCGTATTACCCATCTCTGATATTGTAGCTATCTATAGTAATCCTACGAGGTTATTGAAACTAATCATGTGCCCCTGTATTCCTCTGGACCATAGTAACTAGTTCGCAAGTTTTCCTTAATCTTTTTCCAAGAAATTCCTTCTAACGTGGCTCTTCCTATGATTCCCTAGTAACAATTTGATCTATTATGGGATTATGGTAACTAGAGGAACAAAAGTTGTATTTAAATTGAACCAACAGGAAGCAATCAACTAAGAAACTAAATCTCAATAGTTTGAAGCTTTTGATTTAATTAAATTTTTTATACCATTTTCAATGTTGTGTTATTGCGCGCATGCTTGATGTGTAATCATTCAAATGCAACACAAGTACAACTAACTAATTCCAAAAGAGTCACTCCTTACACCTAAGTGCGGGGCCTAAATTTCCTTTCGTTAGTGAACTCTTACTTTTATTTATTTTCTTGTAAATATCTTATTATTGCCATGTTGAAGCTCCCAATTTTTTTAAATACAATTAAATTTTGAATGTATTAGAAAACTGTAATTGCTCACATATTTTGTACAGCTCAAATTTCTCTAGATTTATTCAATCATTACAATACTCTTTGATCTATAATTTTTGCATTTTCTATATTGCATATAAATGAGTTGGCTTTTATGTATTTGGCAGTCCCTGGTCTATAAATATAAGTATCCTTTGTATAATGACATTCACATCATCCCAATTACACAAGGAACTGTAGAAGCTAAGTTGTCCTACATTAATAGGTGTGCCTACCAATGAGGAGCACATTGATGGACTCAATAGCCACCAACATGCTAGCCAAAATATCAAAATCTATGAATCTTCTCCAAATCATTATGGCCATTAAAATTTGACTTGCTTAGCAATAGTTTTCTTAAATGCTCCTCTATGTACAAGGAATAGTTATGTATTTATTTCCTTCAAGTGGTATGATGCAATTTTCATCAAAGCTAAGGAAGGGTTTCCTCTATATAGAATTTTTACCATCAATCCTGTCGACAAAACTCCGTGTGAGTCCTCTCTCTAAGCTCCTATATCAACCCCTCTTAAACAAGCATTTTTAGAAATTCACCATTTTACACAAATTGAGATGCTTAGACATTTGTGATCATTGTCGTTCATTCAAAATTATAATTAGTGCCTTTTAGTCTATTCCTAAACATTGTATGTTACAATACTTTGAAACATGCTATGTGGATAAATTTTAGGAAGATTTACATTCATACAGCTCAATTCTTATGTATTTACATATCTAACACAAGCTTCAATTTTTACATATAGGCCGCCAAAACCATACATTTGTCTCAAAGGAACAAAATCCTCAACAAATTATGCTAAAAGGCAAGAAGAAGTGCCACATGGTAGAGCTGTGAGAAAGGGTGCACAACAAAAGGGGACAAAAAAGATACCAAAGAATGTTGAAAGAAAAACCAGAAGAAAGAAAGAGGAGATGGGAAGAGAGAAGGAGAGAAGAGGGTCAGTGAATAGCCAGTGTCAAATCTTCCAAACTTAATGTAGTCAATAAGAATAGTTCATAAGCCAATCCCAAAACCTCATTTATAGTTAAAACAAGCCGAGTATAATCACAATAAACAATTAAAAATAAAAGAAACCCTAAACTTATAAAATATATGAATCTATATATCGATAAAGTTAATATTTCTCATCACTAATAGAGCAGGAAGATGACTAATGAAACTCATATTGTCGATATGGACCATAAATGTTGATCAAAGTCAGCTAACCGTTCCTCGTAACAGTAAAGCAAAAAGAGAAAAGCTCAAATTACAAACAAAATCGATAGAATAATCAAATTGCTTCCTTCTACAGCGATACATCCATCCAGTCAATCACACTACCAACACCAGAACACATCATTTCCACGAACAAAATAATCAGAACAACGACAATCCCTAACATAAATTCCAATCACAAATCCTCAATAGATCCACGCAGAGCAAACAAAGCACCCTTATAAGTTAACTGAAAAAATTAAAAAAAATTAAAAATCTCCACTTGCTCGGTGTAATCCATAGATAAAAAAGCTCAGAGGATAAGAAACCAGTACCAATTCAAAGAATTAGGGCAAACTCGAGACAAGAGATCTGGAGGACGAAACGAAGGCGAAGACCAGAAACAGCTAAAACCTCAGCCGCCGTGTTCTCGTTCGCTTCTCGCTCAATTATTTAAAATATGGATATAAAAATCGATGCGTTCCTTCGCGCGGCTGCGCACCGGCAGCTGCCGGGTGGCAGAGGCGGCGGCGGAAGGCGGCTACCGATGCAGGTAGAATTAAACTCTATATCCTTATTTTTAACTATTATTATTTTTTAGAGCCTCCAACCACTCTTAGGATCCGTCTTGGGCAGCTTATAAGTGCGGGCGGCATTTTGAAAACGCTATTGTACAATTTGGTTTGCACGTTTCGCCAGCTTATCTGAAATTGCATTTGGGTTTTTACACTAAACGCAGACCGCGGGTCGACCCCTGCAGCCGGCCTGCGGGCCGCATTTCAGGATAAGCAGCTTATCTTGAAACGCACAAGATGTCTCAAACGGACCCTTAATTTGTATAGCAATTCGAGTATCACCTCCTTAAGGTCTACTGTGCGAGCGGGGATTCGAACCCCCGATCAAAGAGGTCTTATACCATGAATGTCAACCAACCGGTCAGGATATTCTGCTCAACTATTAAACTTATATATTTATTTATATCATCAAAAATAATTAAAATTTTGATTAAAAAACAATAAAAATACATGATAATTTTTTTTAATAATTTTTTCTATTTTTTATGTGGAAAACATTTTTTTTTCTTAAAAAATCTCTTATCTAAAAATTAGATTTAGAATTGCAGGATTTTGGTGGTTGAAAATTTAGAAAAATGAATTTATGAAAAAATTTATTTTCTTGGGGCCAATTGACTATTTTATTATCATAATTAGGTATGTAAATGAATCCAATACATGCGATATTGGAGCCTGTTCAAAATGAGCTCGTGTTCGAAACAACTCGTGAGCTCGTGTTCGAAACAATTCGCAAGCTCGTGTTCGAAACAACTCTTGAATGCCAAAATTCGTGTTAAACTCAATTCAAATTTATTTAAATTAGATCTTGTTTGGCTAAGTTTTGAACTACACTGAAATTGTATAATATAATCATCAAAAATAAAATTTGTATTTTAAAATATTATTTCATCCCCACATCATAATGGGGTGAAAAACAAAAAATTAATTTTTGTTTTGTTTTTTACAGTTAAATATGATTCCTAATGAAAATTCTTTCAATTTTAGAAGATGTGGGACTAAAAATTTGGGCATGTGCGATGGAACCCCTGAGACAATTTACATAATCTAATTTTATCTATTTACATATGTGATGAGAAAGCAAGCCGCGAATGTATTATTTTAGGCACATTTACATAAATACAGCCTAAATCCTATTTATTTACATTTCTAACACTAAACTTATATATTTTATAATTACACGACCCAAATAATTCTTATAAATAATAAATTTTATCATTTTTAATAAATATAACAAAAAAGATATAAATATATATTATTATTTAATCATTTTAGAGTAAAAAATGGTCCTTTTATAAATCGAGCTAAGAAAATTTTACGTGTTTAGCTCGCTTGCTTTACAAACAACGTGTTAAAAATGTATGCGCGCGCGCGCGCGCGCGCACACACACAGACATACATGCATGCATGCATGCATGCATGCATGCATATACGCAAGGGAAATGATACCTTAGTCTCTAGAGATATATATATATATACATATGTATGTATACATATATATATACATATGGATGGATGGATGGATGGATGGATGGATGGATGGATGGATGGATGTGTATGTCTGTGTATGTCTGTGTATGTATGTATGTATGACATATATATATATATATATATATATATATATATATATATGTATGCATGTATATATATAATACATCTAAATATTACATAAAAAATACCACTATTACAAACTTGTTAAAAGTGAAATTCACATTTTATGTATAATTTCATGCAACAAGTGTTAAAAATGTAAAAAATCAAATTTTAGGTATTAGATACATAAATTCATAGCCATTGTGTGGTATATATGTAAAATGCTTGCCTCAGCTTATATTGTATTAAGAGAAAAATATTCATCACAAGTCAATGCCTTCATCAAGCCCCTTTGAATTCATCAAAACATTAGAATTAATCTGCTTGTCATATTTTTTCTTTCTCCTCTCTTCAAATTCAACAAACGCTGTCATCTGTATATAATATATATATATTTACAGAATATTAAAATAAAAAAATAAAATAAATAAATACCTGCTGGAACTGATCCACTGTAATGGGATTACAATGAAGAGCTATATTCTGTAGAGATTTACAGTCCTTCAACAAATTCTGAGGTAGCTGCAGATGATTTGGTGCATCAGTGCATGAATTTCAAGTAAATAAAATGATACATTTGAAGCTTTATTTCCTCTGTCAAATCAAAAGAAAAATTACATTTTCGTCCCATTTTTTTTTTGTTTTTGCAAATTCTCATACCTGATTCACCCTGTTATTGTTCAGCACAGGAGAGACTTCAGGTGGTTGAGATTGCAAAGTGATGCAGGTAATTCCTCAATATTGTTGTCTGTAATAGAAAGTGAAGAGAAGAAAATTTAAAAAAAAGGAAAAGAAAAAATGCATGGCACTCTAATTTTTTATATTTATACCATCCAAATGTCTCATATCATATAAAAAACACCACTATTTTAATGTTTAAGAAGTGGAATACACATTTTCGTGTACATGTAAGACGGCATATATGTAAAAATTGAATTTTAGGTGTCAGACATGTAAATAAATAAAAATTGAGGGGTATGTATGTAAATCTTCCTTATAGTTTTGGAGGGCCCTGATTGTTAGTGATTATGTTTTTGTCAAGGGATTGGTGATTGTTATTGGAACCACATGAAGATCTTACATCGAGCAACGACTGCAATTAACTAATGGAAGGTCATACATATCATCTACCCTTAGTTTTTTTGCTATCATGAGATTGGATATATTCTATAACAAGTCAATAAAAAAAAAATTTCATTTCAAGCTAAACTTTTTGTGCTAATATTCCATGTCACATAAGGTTTAAGGATGTAATTTGCATCATTAACCCTTAATAAATATTGCATCTTTTGTAAATTTTACAGTTTGACAAGAGCTTGAGGGATAATAAAGCATTTATGTGGTTTGGTTTCTTTGTTGTTGAATTCAAAAGTGTCCGGCCCAAGAAATATAACGTTCTGCTAGGAAGTAATCGGAGACAGAATGTATAGCAGAGAACCGTAAAAGAAAGTGTAGCCTTTATTTAGGAGATGGACCCCCTTACTTATAGACATAGGTCTCAATATTACAAAAGTACATATTGGTCTCTTCATCATTGACTTTTCAGAAGAACTTTTTGGTAATTACAGAGTTATTAACATATAATAAAACCGGGGGGTTGATCGATATCTAATCTGAAAGAGAGCCTCCTATCAATCGTCTTGAGGGCTGATCCCCGTCCTGCGGAAAATCTTAGGGCACGTTCCGCCGATCGTTCGAAACAAGACACCTCCCTTGCTAATATCCAGCTCAAGACAGCCATCAACAGGTATGCCCGATCGTCAATATCATCCTCTTGAGTCGTTTATCTACCTCGAGATTCGTGTTAACATATTTTTATATGTACATTTGCAATGTTGTTAAATAAATAATTTACAAATCCTAATACAGAATAATATACATGTAATTTTACCGATTTATGCTTATATTTCAGACCAATTTTACTAATCCTTTTCTATCATATTGTCACCAACCTTAATGAATTAGAACACCTCGTTCATGAAACAAACAAGAAATAAAAATATAAAAATAAAAATGTAATGTCTGATAATTATCATTTCAGGTTCTAGTTCAAAATAATTATAGATTTAATTTTAAAAAAATAAGATTAATTCAAAATAAATGATTAGTGATTACCATTTGCCTGTAACTCCTCCAAGGCTGTGCAACTTCCAATGGAAGCTGGCAGAGACTTCAACTTATTGCTTGATACATTAAGAAGGGATAACTGCAGCCAAGTAAAGCAAAAGTAGCATGAGAAACCCATGATGTATTAAGAAAAGAAACTAAATCATGAAATTTAAAATTTAAAAAAAATGAGAATTTAATTCTTTTACTCAAATATGACACAATTAATTGACTACAGTTATTACTTAAATTTTACAGAACTTCATATATTTAAATTCTGAAAAAAAGTTGCCAATCAGTTTCTAAAAATTTAACTGGATTTAATAAATCTGAATGTAAAAAACAGCATCACACCGCGAAATTTTCTAGAAAGCAATAAGAAAATAGTACCCAAACACGATCTGAAAAGCAATGCAGTAAGAAATTTAAAGTTTTGGATGATCGTTTGCTTATTGTTGATGAATTCTACTTATTTTATGATTTTCATCCAACAAGATGAAATTCTTGCCTCATTAAAATCAACAAAATTGCTATTTGTATTATGCTTTTATTTTAGTTTTGTTATATTTTGTTTTTTATATATGTTTTAGTAATTTTAAGCATGTTGTATTTTCTATTTTATAAAATAAATATTTTTTTTTAAAAAAAACTCTTAAAACAACTAAGAAGTTATTTTGAGCATCTTAAGAATAATTTGACTTATTTTCAACATGCCAAAAAGTTTTAATTCAAATTGAAACATAAATAAAACAAACTAAAAACACAAAATTAAAAATAAACAAATAAGTGAGCCAAATGAGCTCCTTTAAAAAAAAAAAAAAGGAATGTACAGAGTCTATTATATGAGCCTCCTACCACCCCTAATGTGTCTAACAATTCGAGTATCACCTCCTTAAGACCAACTGACCAACTGTGTCAGAGTCAGAGGAATTCGAACTCCCGACCTAAGGAGCCTTATACCATGGATGTCAACCAAAAGACCGGGGATACACAGCACAGCCCAATCAGCTCCTTAGTGGAGTAGGTTTGTTCATCCAATCCTAGATTGATATTAGAAAACCCCATATCCCAAGACATTCTACATCACCCGGAACTATTGCAGGCAAACAAAACATACAAAATGAATACAAAAAAAGGGGCATTTACATACGTACTACTGAATTCCCATGTATGCACATATAGAACACCTAAACTTTATTTTTTATATTTATAACACCCGAATATTTCTTATCACATAAACAATACCACTATTTTAACTTTTAAAGGTGAAATACATATTTTCATGCATAAGTTTGGAGGCATATATATAAAAAGTAAAAATTGAACTTTAGATGTTAGATATGAAAATACATAAGAATTAAGTGGTATGTAAGTAGATCTTCCTACCAAAAAACTACTAGCGCCATTCAAAGAAGTACTCACATTATGTAGCTTCCCAATTGTATCTGGCAAGCATGTTAACAAATTACCAGAAACAGAGAGCTGTTCTAACTTGGAAAGGGAACCCACTGCACAAAGAAAACACGGGAAAAAACCAATGAGAAATATGAGCTAACTGTCTTTATTACCCAAGGAAGATTTACACGAATACCACTTAATTCCTACGTATTTACACATCTAACACCATAACTTCAATTTTGCCATATATGTCACCTTTCCTACGCATGAAAAGGTGTATTATTACACTTCGTTATTAAGTTAAAAAGTGACATTTTTATGTGATATGAAAGATTTCAGTGGTATCAATGTAAAAAAGTAAAGTATAGGTGTTAATGTAAATAAATAGGAATTAGGTGGTTTTTGTATGTAAATATGCCCCTAAATGAAAATACCTTCATCCGGCAGTGTGTTAATCTTATTTCCATCAAGTGTGAGAATTTTCAAGGATCTAAGACTTGGCAGGGTATTTGGGAGGCGTTGAAGCACATTATTTGCCAGGACCTGAAATATAAATATGATTTCAAGTTAAAAAGCAGTCTGTAAAAATGCAATTTTATAATTAAACCAAGTGTTCACATAGGTGCAGTTTGGTTTGAAGAAAAACGGGTGCAAAGTAAAAGGAATACATATATTTGTTTTATACTGTGTATTTCTTAAGTGGAAGACAGAACGCAGGATAAATTTTGAAGTATTCAAAATTTGCCATAAAATTCATTTTCAATGTATTTCAAATTCACCTAATTTGAGGTGAATTCTACAAAAGGGAAACTATATTGGTCGCCGGCCGGCCATCCCTCCTGTCCGTGGTCGACTGCAACTGCACACCCCTATCTATTACATTGATTTCATTTTTCTTCAAATCAAACAAATAAATAAATAAAATAACCAAGTATTTATTTTACAGCAACTCATAAATATTTCAATTACATTGAATTCATTTTACACTACATTCAACCCCTTAAATAAATCTAATGAAAATTAAAAGGAACGAAAGCATGATACTGCAAAACAGAGAAAAAAAAATGCAAAGAAAGGAAAAAAAAAGAAGAAGAAGAAAAAATGATAGAAACAACACTCACCAGACGTTGCAACTGAACAAATTTACTGATATCTGGAGGAAGCACAGCTGCAGAACATGATTGTGACAATAAATTCCACTATAGAGAAAAATCGACCAAAAAAGGGATGAAATGGGCAAGCTGCTCAATAAAGTAACACAAATAAAAAGGAAACAGAAGTTGGATGAAAATTTTCATAGGTAAAACATACTTTTAACCTCAAAGCTTAAGCTTATAGATGAGAGAGAACTTAGAACTTAGTATTTTTTAAAAAAATGAGAATCATCTCTTAAAATTTTCTCAACTCTAACAAAAGGAAGACAAGGCAATGAAAGTCACAAATTGCATGAACCAGTTTTCAACTAAACATTTTAAGCATATGATCGAGGGAATATAACAATAGACTCAAGAGAAAAATGTCAAAATAACCCTTTGATTATTTATGAATAGCTGTTTTAGTCCCAATCCATTTAATATATAAAATTTAATACCTTGACTCCTCCAGCCCGAAACAAAACAATTCAATAGATTGAAAGAATAAATAAAACTAAAAGATATATAATATTGACTTACAAATATTATTGTTTGTCAAATCAATAGTACGAACATTGTTATTCACCTCAAGAACTTCATCAGGTAGTACCTATTGAACAATAGCCTGGTTAGTCGATACAAACAGCAGGAATATAGCAGGAATATAGAAGAAATAATGTCAAAATTTCCCCTTCGGCACATATTTACTTGATGATAATAATGGTTATATAGAAGGAAAATACACATACTTTAGAGCAAGATTTAGGAAAAATAAGTCAAAACAAAATATGAGCAAAAAGCTTCAATAGTGAACAAGAGTCAAAATATTTGAGTCTTTTCAGTACAGTACAGTACAGTAAAATGGTTCATTTTTTGAACTTTAGGGAGATAGTGGCAATTAACACTATCATTGTCGGTCTCAAGCCCGGATGTGAAAAGTAGAGGGTTATGTTAGGTAGCCGACAATTAAAGTAAAACTTGTTGAAAAAATCATGACATGAATCCTTTTGATCATTGTGTAAGTGTCAGGGCATCCCCTAGAAGCGACGCCCTTTATAGGCTGAATACAGTGAAAAGTGTGCAAGGGCCGCCACACCAGCATCTGGGTGTCGTGTCAAATAAGCAAGGGTCTTCACATTATGGACGGATGCGAGTAAAGAAGTTAGTCCATGAAACTAATATTAGGTTATGATCTTAGAATATAGCTACTCTCAATAGTAAATTAATGAAATTAGTTGACATAATGATTTGTAGAAATATTAATATCTTATGTATTGAAGAAACTAAATGGATTGGAGAAAAGACAAAAGAGATTGATAATTTAGGTTTTAAACTTTGATATTCTGGTAAGAGTCGCACTAGAAATGGTGTAGGTGTAATTATAGATAAGAGTTTGAAAGATAATGTTGTGAAAATTAATAAACTTGGAGATAAGATTATAGTCTTTAAGATTATCATTAATACTAAGATTTTTACTATTATAAGTGCATATGCTCCTCAAGTAGGTATATGCTCCTCAAGTAGGTTTAGTAGGTTTAGATATAGGGTATAAAGATAAATTTTGGAATGACTTAAAAAACTTAATACAAATGATATCTGTGGAATTACGCTCCTTATTATTATTATTTATTTTAATTATATTTAGTACGTGTTATATTTAGTCATAGTACAATTCCTTAATTATTGGTATTTATGTTATTCTATAATTATAGGAACTACTTTATTGTAGGAAGATTTCTTTCCTTCTTTTGTTTCTCTTGTACTCACCTATTTATAGGTGAATTATCTATGTATTTTGTGTGAGAAGATTTATTCAAAAATTATTCAAAAAACCACATGGTATCAGAGTCAGGTTGATCATACAATGTTCACAAAAAGATCCGAGAAGAAGATTGTTATACTTATTGTATATGTTGATGATATTATCCTTACCGGTGATCACACTGAGGAATTGACAAAGCTAAAGAAATTCCTAGCCCATGAATTCGAAATCAAGGACCTCGGAGACTTGAAGTTCTTCTTGGGAATGGAAGTTGCAAGATCCAAAATGGGGATAGCCGTAACTCAAAGGAAGTACACATTGGACCTATTGAAAGAAACTGGTATGCTTGGATGCAAACCAATAGACACTCCAATAGACCCGTATAAAAAGATTGGAATGGAGAATGATAGTTTACCATCGACAAAAGACGATATCAGCGGCTTGTTGGAAGACTTATTTACTTATCCTACACCAGACCAGACATAAGTTTTTCAGTAAGTATAGTAAGTCAATTCATAAATTATCCTACTGTAAGTATCGTAAGTCAATTCATGAACTATTCGAGAAGAAGATTGCTATAGTAAGTATAGTAAGTCAATTCTTGAAGAAATAATTTTTATTGGAGGAGATATAAATGGACATGTCGGTAGAGTGGTAGTAGATTTCAGAAATACTCATGGTGGTTACAATTTTGTAGTAACTAATGAAGAATGTAGCGTATGATTTTATTATTATTAATACTTTATTTAAGAAAAGATACGAGCATCTTATTACTTATAAGAATGGATCTAATAAAGCACAAATTGATTATTTTCTTATGAGAATAAGAAATCGTCGAGATTGTAAAGATTGTAAGGTCATTCCAAGTGAGAATTTAAGTACCCAACATCGTTTACTAGTTCTAGATTTTAAGATGAAAGTTGTAAAATAAAGAATACTATGATTAACATCATAGAATTAGATGGGAGAACCTAAAATACACGAAATAAAATTATTTTTATGAGTAAAATTCAATATTTCAAAATTTGGGATGTTCATGAAGAAGCAAATGCTATCTGGGATAAAGTAACAAACACTATTAAACAAGTATTAAAAGATGTACTTAAAGAATCAAAAGAAAAAGATTCTATAAATAAAAATAGTTGGTGGTGGAATAATAATGTGCAAGAAAAGATAAAATATAAAAAGTTATGTTATAAAAATTGGTTTCAATGTAAAAGCTTAGAAAACTGAAAAAAATTTCAAACGGCCCGTATGAAATCTAAAAGAACAATCTGTGACGCTTAAATTCTGTTTTTAATGATCTTTATGATATATTAGATACTAAGGAGGGTGAAAAATATATATAAATTAGTCAAACAAAGAAAATAAAAACATAGATTTAACTCAAGTAAAGTGTATTAAAAATGAAAATCAAAGTGTTTTTTTTAGAAAAAAAATATTCAACACATGTGGGTCAGTTATTTTGATAAGTTTTTTAATGAAGTTTCTGAAAACACGATCGGTCTTAGTGATTTTAATGTCATTAATAATAATAAAACGTTCCATTTTTACTGTCGCATTAGTAAAAAAGTTGATAAAGATTTAAAAAAACCAAGGGTGGAAAGTTTGAAGACCTGATGATATCTCAATTGAAGTGTGGAAATATTTAGTAGATTTGGGAGTTTCTCTCTTTAATATTATTTTAAAAACTAAAAAGTTGTCTGAGGAGTGGAGGAAGAGAATTTTGGTCCCCATTTTTAAGAAAAAAAAGGATGCAACATAATGTGTGAATTATAGAGGAATTAAGTTATAATACTTTAAAATTATGGGAGAGGATAATTGAACATAGATTAAGACGTATTATAAAAATTTCTCATAATCAATTTGGATTAATGTCGGGCTGGTCTACTATGAAAGCTATACATTTATTGAGAGGTTTGATGGAGAAGTTCAGTGATAATAAAGAGGATCTACATTTGATTTTTATTTATTTAGAAAAAGCTTACGATGAGGTTCCAAGAGATAACCTTTGGAGAGCTCTAGAGAAGAAAGGCGTTGATATGACTTATATTCAAGTCATTAAGGATATATATACTAGAGCTATTACTTGTGTTCGAACTGAAGGAGGATTGGCCAAATATTTTCCTATTTCTGTTGGATTACATTAGGGATCAGCTTTAAGCCCATATCTTTTTGCTTTAGTTATGAATGGCATTATTGGACATTTACAGGAGAATGTACCTTGGTGTATGCATTTTGCTGGTGATATCCTTCTTGTAGATAAGACGAGAGAAAAAACCCAGGAAAAACTTAAGTTATGGAGGTCTATATTGGAGTCTAAAGGCCTTCATTTGAGTAGAACTAAAACTGATCAAGGGACAGAAGTGTAACTAAATATAATTTTAGTAGTAGTAGCTGCGAACAATTTAGTAATGTAGTAGCTCTAGTGACAGAAGTGTAACTTTGGGTGATCAAATCATTAAAAGTTGTATATCTCGGGTTTATCTCGGGTTTGTTGTTCAAAGCGATGGTGATATAGATGGGGATGTTAATAGTAGAATTCAAGTTAGTTGGCTGAACTAGAGGAATGCTTCGAACCTTTTATGTGATAGACAAGTACCGCTTATACTGGAAGGAAAATTTTTAAGACGGTGGTGAGACCTGCAATGCTCTATGGCGTTGAATGTTGACCTTTAAAAAATAAGCATAATACAAAGTTAAGTGTTGTCGAAATGAGAATGATTAGGTGGATGAGTGACTTTACACTTAGAGACAAAATGCAAAATGAATATATCCGTGATAGGGTTGGTGTAGCTCATGTGACGACAAAATTAGAGAAAGTCTTCTTAGATGATTTGGTCAACCATCACATTAAACGTCGACCATCTGATGATCCTATTAGGAGAGGAATGTTTTATATTCGACTATGTTAAGAAAAGCAAAGGTAGGCCTAGGAAGACTTGGGCTTATTGTATAAAAAATGATCTTAATTTATCAGAACTAAATGAAAATATGACACTAAATAGGATGCAATGAAGAAAAATGATTCATGTGATTCATGTAGCAAAATGATTCATGTAGCGGACCCCATGTAGTGAGATTAAGGTTTATTGTTGTTGTTGTTATTGTTGTTGGCAGATAGTGGCAATTAAGTTTGGAGTATTAATAAACAAGAGTGTGGTGAATAGAAGTCCGCTCGTGGCCTTTATTTTGAAGAAAATTTCAGCAATACCTGATATTTTGGGGCATTTACATACATGTCAGCCAATTTCTATGTATTTGCGATGTTACGTATATAGCACAAACTTCATTTCTTTTATTTATGCCACCCAAATCTTTCAAATCACATCAAAAGTACAACTATGTTAATTATTAACAAGTGAAATACTTTTTTTCATGCATAGGTTAAGGTGGTATGTATGTAAAAATTAAAGTTTAGGTGTTAATCATATTAATGCATGAGAAGTGAGTAGTATGTCTGTAAATCTTCCTAATTTTTTAAGCATGAGATGTGGAAAGCATCCCAGCCAACCATTTATCTTAACAAAAGTGTATCAAAAGAAATTAAAAGGCTGATCCTTTCTCCACGCCCATGTGATCATAGTCCCAAACGCTTGTGAACTAATAGGTATGGAAAACGGTTTAATAGCAATATTATTTTTGTTTGGTAATCAATGATGCTGCAATGACTAGCACTGGCCTTGTGATGGTTATGTGATCGTTCAATAACCACTTGAAGAAGTTGGTTCACCATTATGTGATGAACTAAGATCAATTAATGGGGTGGTATTCCAAAGGCGATTTGTTGACAAAAAGCCTCTCTTGCAATGGCGAGGAGACCACCTAGCACTTCCATCTATAATGCA